GGGAAGTGCCATACTGGATAGTACGCAATTCATGGGGACCTCATGGGGCGATAATGGATATGTTTACATCAAAATAGGGAACAACATGTGTGGTAGGTTTGTGTATGACCCACTTTTAATGCCTTTCTAGTTTGTTGACAGTTTCCCAGACAAGTAATAAACACAATGCATCCTGCTGTTGTGCGCATTCATAAATATTCATGAAGTGTTGGACGTTGGCAAACACTCAATACTGTCAGCAATGTGAAAATACAATTATAAATTCCTAGTTTAAATTCATATCAGACCATTTGTAAATGATGAAGTGAGCTTATTTTTTGATTGTGATCTTTGGGTCAATTACTTTGACTTTACGCAATGTCAGATGAGAATCAACAGCCACTCTTTTTTTTGTTTTTTCTTTTTTTCCAGGAATTGCTGACAATGTTGCTGCTGTTTTGTGTGATTGTCAATAATCTTTTGTACTTCCGCTATAAGACCGTATCAGATCAACATTTTAAAATATCAGCCTCAGGACGGAAATCCTCCTGTGTAGCTGAGAAGGCTGTAAAAAATCTCAAGTAGCAAATCCAGTTGCCTCATGAATGCAGAGCAAGTACGCTGCTATTTGAGCTTATTCCTAATATGTAATATTCCTAATACATCATAATACATCATATTCCTAATCCCAGTCACTGTAGCCCAAAACGCACACTAGCTAGATCTATCTTTAAGAATGTTTTAATCTTCAGAAAACACTGTTAGTAAGTATAAGTGCACAACTGAACTGAACGCTTACTGTATTGTGACATTGCACTGATGTTGGACACACAAGTGAACTCATCTGAGAAAAATGTGAACATTTGTTTTGTATTTTTTTGAATACTAATACAGCCTTTAATCTGTAAGTGATAATCACTACAGTACATTATGTACTAGATATTCAGAATTAATCTGCTTTTTTACTTATTTGTAACTACAAACTTGGGTTACATTTTAATAAGATGTAATAATATTAATTTAACACATATATTTAGGGTTAGTTGGTTGTAAGTATGTATAATTTGTTGATTATTCTTACTATAGTAAATAAATGTAAGATGTGTTACAATGAAACTTAAATAGTGTTAACCAAAGTTTACTTTTTATTGTGTTTAGCAATTGCGGTTGCATTTTAGGAATAATCTTGACATGTTTACTGATATTAAATAAACTTATACATACTAAACTTAACATATACTATTTAAGTACACTATTTGCCAGAAAACATTGTCTATTTTTTTTCCAAATAAACAAGAAGTAGGCTATCATAATATCTGTATGTGTATGCTCTTTATTTACAAAATATAAATCAGTTAACTACATATGTAATGCGATCTTGGAAAACCCACATGGTAAAACTTTAATTATTACAGGTTTTGATAGCATAAATTTCGTCAAATCGTCGGCTGATCGCTATGATTTTCAGGAACGGAATTTTGCGGAAAAACAGGTTGAGTTAACGTTCACTTGCTGTTAGCAGGACGATTGACTTTTTCATATAACATACTTTAGTAATCGTCATAGATTGGATATCATTCAAAAGCTTACGAACTCAAAATGCATTCTATGAAAAACGTATTTGAATTTGGACGATTTAGAGGTGAGCAGTTATAACGTTCGATTAAAAAAAAATTGGATGAAGTTGTAGTTTACTCAGAAATGGCGGGAAATGTGCATTGATATACCTTTATTCTAGATGTTATGTGGTTTATTTTGATAGGTGAACTGTCTTTGTAGTGTTTTTATTTATTTATTTATTTATTTATTTTTTGCCACCATAAATCTCTATTTTTCTGCTCTAAACAAGTGAATTTTGCCAATATATATTCAGAGATGCTAGACAAAATGTTATAGTAGCTATAATTGAATGAAAACCCAATTTTGACAAAACACAGCCAAAAAACGTACCAGCGTGACATGTGACGGGTTTCCCGTATCGCATCACATTATGTTAGAATATTACGTTACATTGACAGTATGTAAACAAGTGCAGTAACAGCGTCACTGATTTTATTTTGGTTGACGCCGTCTTAAAATTCCGTTTGTGAACATCTCAGCACAGCTTTGTAGCCTCTCATTCTAACATTTAAAAAGACTTTAGTGGCAAATGTTGGTGATGGGAGACTTGTGAGGTTTGAAGCTTTTTCTTCTGTACTCTGTAAACGCTGTTCATCCTTGCCTCATCCTCCATCTGTTTAGTCTGAGTCATCGCTGCTGCTGCAGTAGGAGCTGTCGCAGCATTCGGCCGTGTAGAGGAAACTGTGCTCACTCGGGTCCAGTTTGGGTATCCATTCTCTCGGAACCAGGAAAGTGGCCAGGTTAAACAGATCCACAAACACCTTGTAGCGATCACTGGCAGAACATATTCAGGTTCATGAATAAGCATTCCAATACATAGGCTGTACTTGTGTTTGAGTGGTTCGTCAAATGGCTTGCATATTGCTGCCATTCCAATTCACATTTCATTTAGCATTATGTTTCACATGGATAATTCCAGCAGATGCAGATTGCTTCATCTCGATTTGTCCCAGATTACTTGGCCTACCTGACAGTGGAGCGCAGGTACTGATAGCCTGAAGAGCCTCCTGTGCCGCCTTTACTGCCAATCATCCTGTGCACCATACACACGTGGTTGTCTAGGGGGAAATTCAGGTATAAATTATGCAGGAAGTAAAAAATGAATGCATTATTGATATGCAGAAGAAAACCTTTTGTTCAGTGTTGACACGCTTCTATGAGCCTTTGCCCAAAAGGGTGTTTAAGGTCAGATTTATTTGCAGTTCTGAAGCTGTTTTCAGAGGCATCACATACATCTCCATTTTGTCATGAGGGTGTCGATGTCCATCAATGATGTCAGGAGTTGGAAAGGAACCTGAAATCGGGGCTCTTCTCTGAGAACAGACGGTGAGAAGTTGAGTTACAAATGAGTTTGAAAATAAATTACATTTTTGTTCTTCATCAAGGTATCAAAATGTTAATCTCTCTCTCTCTCTCTCTCTCTCTCTCTCTCTCTCTCTCTATATATATATATATATATATATATATATATATATGGAACATTTATAACATCTACAATAATCTGAAATGTTTCTTGAGCATCATATCAGATATCAGCAGGCATATTAGAATGATTTCTGAAGGATCATGTGACACTGACGACTGAAGTAATATAATAACATTTTCAAATATATGCAATTGTTATTTTAAATTGTAATACTGTTTTTACTGTATTTTTGATCAAATAAATTCAGTATTGGTGAGCATAAAGGACTTCTTTAGAAACAAAAAAAAAATATTGAATGATTGTATAAACAACATAACATTTACTTTGGATAGTACAGCATCTTTGTACTAAATTAGAGGGTCCTCTTAGATGTATACCTGTAGAAGTATATCATCAGGGCTCCCTGCAGTGCTTTATAGGACAGCCTCCTCTGTCCTGCTCAGACAAAACAACATATCCCACTGTAACTGCTAGTGAATGTGGCAGTTGACATTGACATTGTACACACTAGAGGTTTGCTGACCGGTGCTTAGTAAGTGATCATGTCTTCTCTCATCAAAGAGCGATACGAAAACGTCTTTCTGCTTGGTGAGCTCGGCCAACATCTCCTCTTTCATCTCCGAGGCTGGTTTTTGCTATTAAGAAGAAACACGAGTTATCACTTAAAACTTTGATTTGAGAACTGCACAGAATTATCCAGGGATCCTCCACAAACCTCTATATTTCCTTTCTCTCTCCCGAGTCCCTCAAGAATATTGTCTTCCAGTTTCCCCCAAAAATTAAAGCCATCTTCCTCCAAACCAGGCGTTCTCTCCAGCCATTGCTGAAAAGTATTGATTGCTTTTCATGAGAAATGTTAAACGCCAGATTAATCCTGACTATATATAATAGTCCATGCAACCTATTCCTCTCTGAATACCAATAACCTACAAAGAAGTCTAGTAAGTCACAGCTCTTGTGTTGAATTTCCCCGATTACATTGATTAATACAGTATTCATGACTGATCTTATAATGTGATTTCCCAGGTTTACCTCCACTAACTGAAGAAGCGTGGGCTCCTGTTCTGAGTTGAGGAGCAGCTCATTTTCCTGGTCACGGAAATTATCTCGGTAATGCCTTCTGTTGTAGGGGACCCTCTGGTTTTGTGGGACCCCAATCTTGTTTTCCAGCAGTCGAAACTGCAGACTCTGGAAGCCTGAAGCCGGCGCGAGATATTCCCTGTGCACAAAAAACACAGATCAATCCAGCTAAACACAATTATGCTAAACTGCCATTGACTTTGATTTAACAAATTAGTGCCATCTAATGCTTATTTACTGAGTTAGCTATATCCAGTCTCTCGAGTGTTCGTACATTTCCAACAGCAATTTTGCTCAACCAATGCTGTTATCTAGGAAATGCAAAACAAGTTTTCAGGAATTGCTTTTCATTGTCATAATTAAAACTATATATACCTTACCTGAAGTCATAGAAGTCTAAGGCAGTCATGGTTTCCAGAACAGAGAACTGGTCGAGCAACAGTCTGAATATCATCACAACCCTTTGGATACGAGTGTTGACTTTGAGCATGTTTCGCTCGTCACGTACCTGAGGATACAGTTATTCTTTATAAAGTCCCTGAAACAGGACATTTAACTAGACAAGTATCTTAAAGTAGACTGAAGGTGGCAGCCTCATGCTGCAGTGCGCATTCTTTCTTTCAACTGAACTACATATATCATAAAACTGAAGGCTCGGGCTGTTTATCATTGTCCACAAGCCCCACAAACGATAAATTAACTGAATTTTACATTAGAAGCATGCATATGCGCTGCTTTGACAAGTATTCCTAATAATCCTTATGAAACCCTAGTATATAGAGCATCAAAATAGCTTGGGGTATAAAAAACATTTGCATGACCGGTTTACCAATAATACTTTCATTCAGCAAGGACATATTAAATTGATCAAAAGCAACAGGAAATTGCAGCACGCCATTCTGTTTTCAGTACTGATTATAAGAAATGATTCGTGAGCACTAAATCAGCATATTAGAATGATTTCTGAAGGATCGTGTGACACTAAAGACTGGAGCAATGATATTTTGCTATCACATGAGTAAATTACACTCAAATATATTCAAATAGGAGCATTTATTTTATCAAATAAATGCAGCCTTGGTGAGCAGACATTTTTAAAAACAAATCATATACCGTCCCCAAACGTTTGAATGGTTTTGAATGTGATGCAGAAAATATCAGATAATATTATTTCAAATGTTTGCCCTGATTTTGTCTGAGCTATTGAGCTGAGTTGGTGTTTTATTTTCAGATATTTATGAAAATCATGCATCATCTCTTGCTAGTCTCTTCTTTGTTCCCTGTCAGCCTGAACCTTTATTAGATGTAAGATTCTATATATTAACACAATTTTAATAAATATTAATCTTATTACATTAATTAAAAGCAGGTCCATTCAAGTTTGGAGAAAAAAATGGAGCTGCAGCTGTTGATGATGACCCGCTAACACAAATCTTGTTTGTATTTGTGCAACTCACATGTCCGCTGATGAAGATTTCTCTCACTGAGTCCAGCTCCCACAGAACTTGTTTAAACCACAGTTCATATGCTGCAACAGAAGGAACAAGGTAATCATTTCTTCAGGTTACATATGAAAAGTCATTATGCTTCGAGGTAAATGCACAGAAGTGCAGGTCTCTGGGCTTCTCGAATAAACCTTTATGACACACTGTATGAAACAGCATGTAGGCTATTTATGGATTATGTGTGGTTGTGTGACTCTGGATTCACTGGTGTGGTGGATTCTGGATTGCTGACGATTGTTCACATTTTGTGGTTTACATTCAGCTTTGAGCTTTTGATTTAGTCTTGCCTATTTTTGGTTGCAGTGAAACTTGTCAACATTCAGCGTTATAAACAAGGAAATAAGCTTTGGTTTATGTCGTGTCTTGGGAGCATTCATTGGAGAGAGGCTATGACTGATTTGCCCAAAGGCTGTTTAGCTTTTGTGTGGCTCACCTTGATGTGTGACGATAAACAGATGTTCGTCATGGATCTTGTTTCCCTTCAGCTCACTTTGAAGCATCTGAGATGTCACTATTTTATCCAGCTGGGGATGAGAGAACGCTTTGTTTCATGAAAAGCAAGCCGAAAAAGTCTGTAATAACCAAACTCAATGTGTCTATTTAAAATAGAACATAAAAAAACGAACTACATCACTGTTTGCCATTACAATCTGAGATGCATGTCATTTCCAGCATTTATTCATTTGGAAATCTAGAAAAAAAAATCACATGGTGTTCTGATCGCTCAGCCCATTATAATACACTTTAGACTCGAGGACCGCTCAGCAATTAATCATGAACTATTTTAGGATAAGCTATGCTTTATGCTTATTAAAATATATGAAAATGCATGAGTTCATGTGCAGTTTACCTGCAGATAGTCACCATAGATAAGACCTCCTTTGCTGGCCTTGTTAATTCCAGATTGAGAATCATCATTCTCATCTTCTTTCAGATGCTGCTTACTAGCTGACCTGTTTTTCCATAAAACACAGAAACATTAGTGTGCAACATTCAGCGTAGGTTTGTGTTCTGAAGTTAGTGATGATATGTGTCTTTTGGGATTAGCTGTATAATCTCAAATATCTAAAAATGTTGAAAGCTGGAAATACATACAAGAATGTCTTCTGAAAATATGGACATCCACTCATGGCTGAAATGATAATATGTCAAGCTGTTCTTTTACTCAACTTTTAACAGTCAGTTCTCAAGGATGTCCACACATTTTATAACTTTTCCCCACATGCTGACTGACCAATCATCTCTAGATCCATCCCACCTCCCTTCTGGCCATGTTCACCCCGACCGACATGTTGTACTTTGCCTTGTTCTTATCTTAGGTGAAATCGAACTGAAAGAGGTGCATTGAAACAGAACTTTGACATTATGAGTTAGGGCATTTGTGCATAATTTCAACAAATGTGGGATCATGTCAAAGGGTTTAGATTGACTTTCAAGAGCATTTCTATTTTTACTGCCATTAAGAAAGACTGAATTATTCTATTGTTTTTCCCCTGAACAGCCCTTTTACAGTACATAGTTTAAATATATATATATATTTCAGTTACTTTTTGTGCATTTGTCATTTTTAATAGTATATTTTAATATTTTAGTTTCAGTTTTAGTAGTTTATGTCCTGTTTTAATTTATTATTATTATTATGACAATTAATATTATTTAATTTCAGTTAGTTACAAAGGTAACATTTCTATTTTTTTATTTTGTTTTTCATCTAATATTTATATTTTATTTTATTTCAGCTTTTTCAATTAACAAAAAATAAATATTAAAAAAGTATTATATAATATACATTTTTTAAGAGTATCAACAGGGTGGTGCATAAAAAAAAACAATTCTGGAATCAGATATAGCCTAGTATCGGTCAGGAATCAGATATTTGCAATTAAATTAATATTGTCATTCTGCTTATTGTTTCCTCTGTGTGTAGTTTAATGTGATTTCAAGCTATTTCAATTGCAAGATGAAGCAAAACAGAACTCAGTTCGGCACTTGTGTGCTGTTTTCTGTGTGCTCATATGCAAAGCGTACATAGAGAGCTGCCTTTCATATAGTGTGCTCTTCTTCTCGCATGTGTAACAGTATTGAACCTGCACGTTAGGTCTTAAAGTGACAGCAGCCTAATATAGTCTGTCATAAAGGTTCAGAGAACAAAAGATAAAGAAAATCACGCATTGATCTTGACTGAATTGCATTGTAATTGTAAAAGTCCCATGAACTCAGCCAGCTGATTTCATTAATTAGTTCTATCTCCTAGCTGAAAACTGTAATTATCATATCCAGGTGATTAAAACAAAATACTGAGGATAACTTTTACTTTCTGAACCTGAACTTTACACCTCTGGTATAGAACAGTTGTGTTTGTTTGTTCTTATTTTATTACTGACTGATTACTTGTCTTTAATATTGTTTGAAGTGTATACAAGTAAGTCCAGTTGTTTTTGCTGTGGTATTTTGGTTAAAAAGTTCCTTGAGAAATGTTTGGGCTGTTGATTTTTGTTCATGGAATCAAAATGATTCATGATTCAGCTCAAAATGCTTTGATGAAAGACACAGAATAAATATTTTTGATATCTACATTTTATTTTATTGTACCTTATTGGAATGGAAACTGGGATTTGATTAGAATCAGAATCAATAAGAATCAGAATTGATAGACAGAATCAGAATAGGAATTGCTAAAACTCAAACAACCAATGTTTGATGTTTGATGTCAGTCATGTTCAATAAACACTGTTTAGCAGTGTAAAATCATCTAATCACACTCTCCATTGTTCTTCTGTGATGCTTTTGGAAGATCAAATTCTGTGTGTGGTGAATGCAAAAGTCAAGTTTCGAACAATGCCATGAAATGCGAGTTATGTGACATTTGATTTGTTCTCATAAATGATGTCTTAGTGGAGTCATGTATGCCTGCGTTATCTTGGAAAAGCTAATATTGGAGAGACTCTAATATATATTTAACCTCTTCATGGAGTCTTTGATGATCTGCCTATGTGTTTTGTTTAAATATACATGCTTTTTATCCAACACTATATCACGACCAATTCGTACGAATTCGACGCATGATTAAAAAGTGGCTAATTCGTACTAATTCGTACGACCTCACTCGTACTAATTCGTACGATTTGTCTAAACCCACGTGATGGTTAGGTTTAGGGGCGGGGTAAGGGGTAGGTCATTCGTACGAATTCATACGAATTGGCCAATTCGTAAAATATGTACGATTTAGCAAAATCGTATTAATTCGTACGAGTGAGGTCGTATGAATTGTTACGAATTAGCCACTTTTTAATCATTCGTCGAATTCGTACGACTTGGTCGTGAGATCGGGTTGTTTTTATCTGAACTGTGGGTAATTGGTGAACTCTGCTAGCCAGAACAGATTGTGAAAGGTTGGAGGGTTTGGAATGGCAGTCAGGGGACCATGTGTGTGTGTGAGACAGACAGCAGGCTTGTCTTTGTCTTGTGTCCTTGTAAACACGCTGCTCGCTCGGCCGCCAGAGTTTGCTGATATTGAGCGGTCTGTGACAAGGATTGGGCGTCACTGTCTTCACACCTTTTGAGAAGAGTTGGGTAATCCATCAAATCTGCCACTTGAGGCATAAGCAACAAAAATTGCTGTTGGAGACGACACTATGTGCAGTCGAGTGACCTTCATAAACCAGTGTTATTTTAGGGATTCAGTAAAACTGTGCAAAATAAGCTCAAATGTCTCAGAGTAAAATGAACCAAACCCATTGGGAAGTATATGTTTGTGTTTGAGGAGTGTTAATGAGAAGTCTGGACTGAACAGCATGGTGCATCTCGGATTTACGCAAAAAAACAGAGACCATGGCTAATACGGGTGAAACCAGGGAACGTTTTTCCTCAGAGCATTTGCATATCATTAGCATGCACTGCACTAAAACAACACAGTGGTGTTGGTGGCATCATCAGACTTTGCCTCGCTCACTCTTGCGTAGTAAATATGATGACAATTTCCTATAGGAAGTCCACTGTGTCTCTTAAATATAAAATTAAGTCCACAACGCTTATTATTAAAATCATTTATGCCTTTTTGCATTCCATCAAATGAGCCTTCATCCCAGCTTCAATTAATTTGTTTGAGAATGGGGGTTTGTTACGTGCCGCTATAGCTTTCCAGTTGAATATATTTTGCAGTTGTGGGACCTGCAGAAAGCTCCAGCTCAAAAGGGGCTTTATGTAATGCCTCAAAAAAAAAAAAAAAAAAAAAAAAGTACATCTGTGTTATGTAATCTCAAGTTCCACTTTACCCTCTTGCTATATTGATCAAGTTCATGCTGTATTTATATTTGTAAAAAAAAAAAAAAGTTAAAAAAGTTAAAGAAAAAGAATACATATATATATATATATATATATGCATACATACATACATACAATTATAGAAAAAAATACTAAGGAGGACTTTTACATTCTGAACCTGGACATTTCACCTGTGAGCATAGCACATCTCTCCTGCCTGAATAAACTCTATACACATCCAGATGCTTCCACTTTGCCTGATCATCAACATTATTAATCTGTGATTAATCATAAATCATGATCATGTGCAGCTGACTAAGGAGTACTTTGATTTTAAAATTATATCTGCGAGAGGACACTGTAATGTCAATGTACTGTGATCATCACTTATTAGTTGGCAGTGTTTCATGTTTACTTGTGTCCTGTCAGACACCTCAATGAGAAAGCATCTTTTTTATGATCTAAAACTGCAATTACCACACCATATACGCTATGTTTTATGATTCACCTGTGGTCATAAACCACTTTTAAAGAAATCACATGATAGAGGGTGAACAACATGTTTCAGTGACGCAGCATGCTGATCCTGACTCCTCTGCCTTTGATCACTCATAAATCAGATTTTACACCGAAAGCAATTATACATTTAAATTAATATTTAGAGATTACCATTAATATACCCACCTACTATTTCCAAAGCAGATGAAAGTGAGTTTTACTTATGACTCACAAAGTCTTGTCTTTAATTAAAATGAATTTACATTACCGAAAGCATAGGCACGTAATTTGCGGGTGGGACATGTTCCCACCACTTTTTGCCAGAGCTTTCATTTCGTTCGTTTGTTAAATAAGATGCATCTAGCTTTAAAATGTGTTGTTTTTAAAATCAAGTGATCAAAGTGCTCGTTGCCGCTGCGATCAGTGGTGCAGATTGTCTGTGGCTCGTGAAAAGTTGGACACGCACAGACTCTTTATTCATTACGGTGAAATAACAAAACAAAATGCTGCAGTCATGTTAATCTTGGACTACATTGGCCACCGTAGGAGTTAAAATGAAATCGGAATTGAGAGGAACAGAAACTAATATTCACTGGATGGTCATATACCTTTTCACCACTAGATGGGGGTAAAAATCACACAGTGTAACTTCAATCTGTTTGTGTTGGATTACATGAATGATTTGTGTTGCATTAACTGAAACTGGGTGGTGCTTGTTAGTTCCTAGCATGCTTTAGCGTGAGAAAAGGGGAAGAACCGATGCATAGCTGTCTTTAATGTTCAATTACATTGAAATTATTACAACCATTTAAATTATTTTGGGTTACCATTGTGAAGAAGTGTGGAGCATTTGGTTAGGCTGAAGCAACACTTTGATACTCTTACATGCTGATGAAGCATGTACATCTTACCAATCAAGAAGCTAAAACGTATTACTGGTAGTAACTAGTTGGCTATAGTCTAAAACTGATTAATGTGACACTAAAATAATCTATATTGCATTGGATGAATGGATATTTTAAGTAAAGCACCTGAATTATATCAGTTGGTCTAAAACATTGCAAACTAGTTGGGCTGACACTATTCAATTAAGCTGTGCCAAACCAAAGCAAATAAGTTGCATCAACCTTATTAAATTAAGTTGACCCAACGCAAGTGCATTAAATTGGAATAACAGAATTACATAATGTTGAAATAAAGCAAGTTAATTAAGTGGAAATCCTTATGTTCATTCAAAGAGTTATTTGTTTGAGTGTGAAGAAGTAAAAACAGTAAAAATGAGCATTTTTATAATTTATTTTCTTTTAAGTACAAACCATTTTCATAAATATTTCCCTTGGGACCTGTAACCAAATGAGCAAATAATTGCTTTTAATTTTAAAAATATGCAGATAAACACTCATTTACATAAATACAGACATT